GTGAGTGGAGGCTCGGCCCGATGTGATACTCGTGAAGGCCTCGTATATGGTCCGTTTGGTGCGATGACGGGGTTGGACGTCCGAGATGATAGTAGCACGTCCGTGTGCGTCGGTAAGTGGCGATCGGTCAAAAGAGACGCCAAGTGTTCGACCGATCGGGCAACGTTCTCCAAAGCTCTGAGCTCCGCTCCTTGCTCCGCTTCAAGTCCCTCGTTCGAGCTGCGGATGTCCTCATCACAATTTATGCAGGGTCAAGAAGCCATTCGCACCGAGATGCGAGAACATCAGCAGAAGACCGACGCCCATCTCAAGCTAGTCGATAACGAGATAGCGCAATTTGCTGCCTCTGTCCCTTCGCGACCTCAGGGATCACTTCCCGGGAACCCGGAAGCAAACATTCGAGAGCACTGTAACGCTGTATCTTTGCGCAGTGGCAAAGAGGTCGCTCACCCTGTCATCACATCTACGGAAAAAGGTCAGTGCTCTAATTCTGTCCCTACATCTTTTCCTGACCCCATCTCGGCTGAAAAATCGACAGAGATCTCGGGTGATGAAGAGCGCGACGTATACATTCCACCGCCACCATGTCCGCCTCCGGTTCCTTTCCCTCAACGACTCAGGAAAACTAAAGAATATACCCAATTTGCTCGATTTGCTGACATGGTGCGTAAGTTGGAAATCACTATGCCGTTCCACGAGGTTATCACTCAGATGCCATCCTATGCCAAATTCCTGAAGGACATTCTCACAAAGAAGCGCGTCATCGAGAAGGAAACCATCACGCTTAATCCCGAGTGTAGCGCCATTCTTCAGCATGATCTGCCACCGAAAATGTCGGATCCAGGTAGCTTCTCGATTTCCTGCAAATTGGGAAATGTTTCTATAGATCGTGGTCTTTGTGATTTAGGTGCCAGTGTAAGTCTTCTACCACTCTCCATCTACAAGAAACTCAACGTGGGAGAACTCAAACCGACTCGCATGGCTCTTCAACTAGCTTATCGTTCTATCAAATACCCTCTGGGTATTCTCGAGAACGTTCCGCTGAAAGTAGGCGATTACTACGTACCGGTCGATTTCGTTGTGCTTGACATAGACGAAGATGCCAAAATCCCGATTATTCTAGGGCGGCCATTCTTTAACAACTCAAATGCCATTGTCCACGTTCGTGCCGGCCGACTGACACTCAAGATCGGCGACGAAACGGTGGAATTCACGCTCGACCAGAATTTCAAGCAACCATATACAGTGGACTCTATATATTACATCGACTTGATGAATGCTTTAGCCGATGAGGTACTCTTTGAATTTCGTGATTTCGATGCCCTCTCTATTGCTCTTCTTTCTGAACAGGGCTGCAGTACCTCTACGGAAACTCAGATTCACGCATACACATCATTCCTGGACGGTTTAGACGAAATGCCATGCAACACGGACGTGTCTCATACAAACACGGACCATGTCGATATTCTGCCGAAAAACATCGAACGACACACGCCCGTGTTTGCCACCAGCTCAGTCCGTGTTTCATGCAACACGGTCGTGTCATCATTCGACACGGACTGTGTCAAATGTCTGAGCAATTTTTCGAAACAAGACACGCCCGTGCACAACTCGACACGGCCGTGTCGAGTGTGAACTCGGACCGTGTCGAGTCTCGAATTCATCTCCAGTCTGTTCCTTTGTTTGAACCGTTGCCCGTCTTCGCCGCCAAATCAACCCCCATGCATCATCTACCTGACTGGGACCCTGCAATAGCTCCGAAACTTGAACTAAAACCCTTGCCCATTGGACTCAGGTATGCATTTCTCGGTCTCGATTCCACCTATCTTGTTATTGTCAATGCTGCCTTGGATGATCTACAGCTCGAGCGTCTCCTCACCATATTGCGAGAGTACCAGATGGCTATCGGATACACTCTAGATGATATCAAAGGTCTCAACCCTTCATTATGCATGCATCGAATTCATCTGGAGGACAATTCGAAATCATCCATCGAACATCAACGCCGACTCAATCCATCGATGAAAGAAGTCATCAAGAAAGAGGTACTAAAACTTCTGGATGCAGGTATCATTTACCCTATATCCGACAGCCCTTGGGTAAGTCCGGTTCAAGTCGTCCCAAAGAAAGGCGGTATGACGGTGATCAAAAACGACAAAAATGAGCTGATTCCGACAAGAACAGTAACAGGCTGGCGTATGTGCATCGATTACAAGAAGTTAAATGCAAACACTCGTAAAGATCACTTCCCTTTACCTTTCATTGATCAAATGCTTGAACGTCTTGCTCTTCATTCCTATTTTTGTTTTCTTGATGGCTACTCGGGATTCTTTCAAATCCCTATTCACTCCAATGATCAGGAGAAGACAACTTTCACCTGCCCTTACGGGACCTTCACCTATCGGCGCATGCCATTTGGGCTTTGCAACGCCCCCGCTACTTTTCAACGATGCATGATGGCGATCTTCTCTGACATTATTGAAGATTCGATGGAAGTGTTCATGGACGATTTTTCTGTCCACGGACCTTCCATCGATGTTTGTTTGACTAATCTTCGTAATGTTTTGGATAGATGTTTGCAGGCCAATCTAGTTCTCAATTGGGAGAAGTGCCATTTCATGGTACAAGAAGGCATCGTTCTCGGACACAAAATCTCCGACAAAGGCATCGAGGTTGACAGAGCTAAAATCGAGGTGATCGAGAAATTACCGCCTCCGCACAATATTAAGGCCATCCGCAGTTTCCTTGGTCATGCCGGTTTCTATCGTCGTTTCATCAAGGACTTCTCCAAAATCACAAAACCTCTTACCGATCTCCTCTGTAAGGATGTACCTTTCATTTTCACTAATGATTGCCTTGCAGATTTTGAGACGCTCAAAAAGGCGTTGATTTCCCCGCCCATCATTCAACCACCAGATTGGGATCTGCCTTTCGAAATTATGTGCGATGCCAGCGATTATGCAGTAGGAGTCGTGCTTGGACAACGACAGAATAAAGTACTTCACGCGATCTACTATGCCAGCAGAACTTTGGATGATGC